GAATGTGCGTGTGCTGGGGGGCCGCGCCGAGGGATTGGGGCGTGCCTGCGAACGGGGCGGGGTTCTAGGATAGATGGCATGCAGCTGCGCAGCTGCAGCACACGCGCCGCTGCCTGCTTGCCCCAGCCTCACCGCACCTGTGAGAGGGTAAAGGCCTGCGCTGACAGCACTGAATAAAGGGATGCCTACAAAGAAGACCTGGCGGGTCAAGGCAGGTTTGGGCCCGATGCGGGGTTGAAGCAGGGGCCGCTCACACCCGTCGGCGATTGGGTGCAGCTTGCAGCCGCTCTGTAAGGTGCCCTGAGCCACATGGGCCCGCAATTGCTGCCTGCCGTTCAGAAACTTTCAACCCACCTTCGTTTTGTCCAGCCTGCCATTATGTGTGCGGAGGTCAGCATCGAGGGTTGCGCTCAGGTGAGAGCAGCAGCAGCGGCAAGGAGCAACAGCAAAACAATGCAGGTGCAGGCGCTGGCAGCGGGCAAAAGGCAAGCGCGAAAACAACACATACCTATCCCAATCAACTTCCGGGCTTGACATTTTGCCGGTTGTCAATCACGGGTGGCGGGCGCGCGCTGCCGAGTAATTGTGAACGATCCTTCTACACCACGGCAACTGCAAAGTACGCCAATCTATCAAACAGTTCAAGTCCACAGTACAGAGTGCTCTTCGACTCTTTGCAAACTGTGCCACGGGCTGAGTTCTTGATCCCTGGCACATGCAGTTGCACATGCTGCCCTTCAGCTTGCTGGAAGGATTCCCTTTGAAGCCATGCCCATCTTCATCAGCCAGCGGTGATGTGGATGCTGTGACATCACAACAAAGTTGCCCATTTACTGAGATTTGGAGAGTTGCAGAGGGATCAACGTGCATCTCAGACGTGGCCCACTCACATCTCCTTTCCGCAGGCGCCGCTGAAGCTGTCGGTTGCTGCGGCTGTCCAGAAAATGACAAAGCTCATGGTGAGTCAGCAGTGGTCCCCTTCCTGTATTTGCAATCACCAATAATTGGTGCAGAGGGGCGGCCAACGCTGCGCACAACAGCAGCGTTGTGCACTCCAAAGGGTGACGCACTTTGCCTCACCTTTCCGTTTCTGGGGCTTGCGCCTGGCAGCTCAGCCGCCGCCCCGCCACACAGCCGCCCATCGATCCCCTCTGTAAGAGGTACGGCTGCTGTTGCTCAGGACGCACAGTTGCAGCACTTGATTCGAAAGGCGTGGCCGAGTTACAACGCCAGGCATGGCATGGCCCAACAAGGGGCAGGCCCGCACCTTCATTAACAGGCAACAAACTGAGCACATGGTCCGTTGACTAACAAGGGATGCGGCAAAGTGGTGGTCGCAGCACGAGCAGGGGCACTGTATTATCGTAGTAATGCGCAACTTGAAGTGTGTGCAATATGTATTCGGGTATCTCACAGCACCCCGCACGCCTCAGCCCACGCCACGCGCGTGGAGGGTTCATGAGTGCAAGCATGTGGCATGGCGACAGCGGCGGTACAAAGCAAAAAGCACGGCATCGACGAGCGGTGGCTAAGCGTTGTAACGCGTACGTGTGCGGCAAAGTGGGTTGAGACATCATCCTCTGTCCCCACCAGGGCGGCGACATTCAGCAGCCCCACACCAGTGGGCTGCCGGTGCATGCAAACCCAACGCCCACGCATGCGGGCCCCAGTATGCTGGACAGTCGCGCCAAAACTGAACGTGTGTGGCCGCTGTACTCGCCTCCACGCCCACGCGGGCGCGGGCCGGCGTGGCGACGGCGAATGGAACCCTGATCGTGAGAGCGTACGTAGCTGGGCGTGCGTATCTTCACAGTGTGCATGAGCATGGCCATCCGACCGGGACCCACTTGAGGGTCTACATTAGGCGATAGCAGCGGATAAGGTGATGCAGTGCAAAACTGCCATGAGCGCCAACACATACCCCCAGCCTGCAGCTGGATAAGGAGCCCAGACTGGGCGCAGGGAAACTGCAACATGGTGTGCGGGCGATCCCGACTGCCCATGCATGTGCAACCTTCGGCCGCGTTGCCACCGGCCCACCATCACGGGCAAATAGGCGGTGCAGCCAGCGCCGGGCGATGGGCAGCCGTGGGGTGAGGCATAAACCACCGACACCGACGGATTCAGCGCCCCGCGTCTCGCACGGAGGAGCTAAGATATGATGAGGCGCACCGGCCGAGCATCTCCCAGCCTGCAGCCCCCACCCCCGCCCCGCCGAGGGGCGCCCCGCCGAGGGGCGCGAGCGGGGCGCGGGCGCCGGTTCGACGCGAGGACGCCAAATGATAAATTGGCCCTGCCTACATAACCACCACTTGCAAATCAGTGCAGGTGCAGCGGCCAGGTCTGACAGCTCCACGCCTTCACCACTCGAGAGCAGCGCGCCGCACAGCGGCAGCGCAGCCCTGCGTGCCACGCTTCAGCAAACCGTGGCGTTGGTCCGTCGCACTTCCGCGGGCGGCGCGCTGTTGCGTGCGACCGTTGCGGCACACATGCGAGAGCGCCCCAGGAAATTTGCAATCACCAACTTGTATGCCTGAATCTCAACGCCCCGCAGATCAAAGTGGGCCCACTCGTGCTTCATCAGTCTGCCGCATGCGCACCCGCTAGGCCAGGGCACACTGGACCCCGCGTTTGGGGCCCTGCAGCCGCGAGGCCGCGCCCAGCAAGGTGCGTCTGGCGGCCGCAGTTGCGGCCGCAAACTTTGCCGCAAACTTTGCCGCGCCCAACCCGCACCCAACAGTAGCCTTGTGAAAGCGACGATGACGGGGCCAGGCAGCCCCGCAAATTGATGCAAGCTGCAGGCTCTGGAGTGCAGATGGACCATGATGGATGAGAGATGAATCAAGCTGGCTGACCAGCACGAAGATGCGTTGGTAGCGCGGTCTTGGGGACGTGCGCGGCGATATGGCTGCCACGCCCCTGCACGCTCGAGGCGGGGCGGGGGCCCATGCACCACGCGGGCAGCGCTGGACTGGGTGCTGTTGCGAAGTGTGAAAGGCACAAACGAGGAGATGGAGGAAAGATCGGTGCAGTTATGGAATGGGAGGGGAGGCTCTACCTCAAGGCAGTTCTCAAAGCCAGGAAACGGCCCGCGGACAGTATCGGGCATCATCAACGCAAAGAGACAGCAACAGCTTGGATGGGAGAGTGCTGCACACGCACGGGCAGGCATGCTTTTGCGGTGTAGCAGTGTGTGTACCGAGAGTGGGGGCTCGACGAGTCCGTTGAGCTCGCCGCAGGGTCTGAGGCTGCAAAAATGGGTCAGCCGTCAAGGGGCGCTGCCCTGCAGAGCGGCGAGCGCCTGCGGGCCGCGGCCCCTGCGGGCGGGAGGCCGGGAGGGAAACAGGCCCGGAGGGGGGAAAGAAACGCGCGGCCTACTAATAGAGGTGTGCAATGGGCGCTGCGCGCCGGTGTGCAATGGCCTTGTGAAGCCTTCTTTGTGTGGATACGCTCGACTCATTTCTGGGGGGCTGCGGGGCGGTGTAAGCACAAAGGATGCGGAACAAGACGGGCGGCGGGTGCAGGACGGTGGTGCACTGCCACTTGAGTCGGGCAGGACCATCGCAGCATTATTTCTATGCAAATTGCCGTCTGTGATGGGAGCAGTCCCAACATCAAGTGGGCCGGCGTTGCTCGATGTGCGAGTGACGGCTGCTTGCCGGTGGCCATCTTCATAATTGTGTAATGTTTTGCCAGTGCTGTGGGTGCAATACATCTGCAGGTGCGTGTGGGCGGTGCGTGTGAATGTGATCAGTGCTGAGGCGCACACGCGCGCATAAGCAACCGTAGTGCGTGCGCTAGGGGCTGGGCATGAAATGGTAAAGCCAGCTTCTCAGAGTGCGCACATCAACAAAGCAACAGCGCGGCCATGGGGCCATAGCACGGGGAGGGGTGCGGCGCGCAAGGCACGCATCGGCAGGCCGCAGCCTGGAAGCTGGGTCGGGGGCCGGCTGGCCGGCCGCGCCTCGACGCACCGCAGCGCCAGCGCGCGCCCCACGGCGGCTCCCGCAGACCGTCGCCTGTGCATGTGCGCGCGTGCGCGTGACGCGCGCGCGGCGCACGCCGGTCAGCAAGAGCACCAGGCGGGGTCGACGGCGTCGAGCGGCGCGCACAGCGCGGCGTGGCACCAGGACGGCCGGGAGTACTTGGAGACAATCGGCGCCAGCAGCGCGCCCAAGGCCTCGGTCGGCGGCCGCGCCGCGTCCCGGTGGATCCGCACCAGCCGCCCGGCCGCGCGTGCGAGCGCCGCCGGCTCGACGCGCGCCAGGCGCAGCAGGCGCGGCGCCTGGGCGCCGGCGGTGCCGTGGGTGTGCATGGCGAGCAGGAGCGCGGCCGCGGCCTGGTGGGTGGGGGGGACCTCCAGAAGTGTGTAGTCAAGTAGGCACAGCTCCTGTGAGGACAGCAAGGGCGGGCGGGGGGTGGCTTAGAATGGCAGACGCTCGTGTGGGGCAAAGACTTGACCAGGGCGGGTGGTCTTTGCAGTTGAGCCCTGCATGCCCTCCCACTCATTACACACACATGAACTAACAAACTACCACTTGCACGGCACGCACGCGCAGCCGGACGCACCAGGCCCAAGCCCAGTAATTCCAAGTTTCAAAAACACTCCCATCCAAGGGAAAATGATCATCACTGCTTTGTCCCGTCACGCTGCCGACCCCTCACCAGCAGGTACACCGCCAGCGCCGCGACAGGCGGCCGCGTGCCGGGCAGGCCCTGGACCAGCAGATGCAGCGCTGTGAAGGCCGTCACGTTGGAGACCCTGAACTCCAGGGCGTCCAGCAGCACACGCTCCATGCGCAGGAGGTCCTGGGCGGTGAAGCTGTGGGCCGCGATGTTTACGAGCTGCCCCATGCTGGGGTGCGAC